ATCAAATACTAATAGTAATAGTTAAATACTACAAAATTTGTTAAGTCAAGAACTTATGCTAAAATTACACAGCCACACAAAAAAAAGTTATCTGTACTTTTCATGCGACATATGTTATCCGTAGTATTTTTGACCCCTGATCACGAATCTGGTGACATTGTGCTATCACATCGCAGGAGTTTCCTAACCTCAAAAACAGGTCAAAAATATAAAAAATTTACGAAAAAGTGCTGGGAAAAATACAAAAATTTTATACAAATGTTCATTTATATGGTTAAGACTCTGCCGAACGTGAATCCCCGGTCAGAATTGATGGTTCTATTTTTAACCTCAACAAAAAACGAGTCAATTAAGGTCAAATATCACGAATTTTCAAAAAATAACAGATTCGCGCCAAATTTGGTATAGGGGGGTTTTCGGGGTCGTTGATCACGGATCCGAGGTCAATTTTGCAAAATTCAAGATGGCGGATCCAAGATGGCCGACCAGATTAAAAAAAAAATAACAAATTCGCGCCAAATTTAGTATACGGGGGTTTTCGGGGTCGTTGATCACTAGAGTTCGGGGTTTTCGTCGGCTAGTCGTAGGTGTGTTCATCGTAAACAAATAAATAAACAGGTATCTTGTTCTTTTTTCTGTAAAAGATTTATTCACGAGTTTTCGGCCTAATCTCAGGTAATAAAGTACATAGGTAATCGATTAAATTTTTAAAAACGAATTTTGTAAATCTGATATCGGATTCGTGAGCAGTGGACCCCGAAAACCCCCGTATACCAAATTTGGCGCTAATGTGATTTTTTGAAAATTTGGTCGGCCATCTTGAATCCGCCATCTTAAATTTTGCAAAAATGACTTCAAATTCGTGATCAGCGACCCCGAAAACCCCCGTATCCCAAATTTGGCGCGAATGTGTTATTTTTTGAAATTTTGGTCTTCTATCTTGGATCCGCCTTCTTGAATTTTGTAAAATTGACCTTGGATCCGTGATCAGCGACCACGAAAATCCCCGTAAACCAAATTTGGTGTGAATCTATTATTTTTTGAAAATTCGTGATATCTAACCATTGACTCATTTTTTTGAGGTTAGAAAAAGAACCATCAATTCTGACCGCGGATTCACGTTCGGCGGGGTCTTAACCATATAAATGATCAATTGAATATAGAAAAAATGTTTTTTGTATTTTTCCTAGCACTTTTTCGTGGATTTTTGCTATTTTTGAGATGTTTTTTGAGGTTAGGAAATTCCTGTGATGTAATAGCTCTATTCTGACATCAGATTAGTGATTGGGAGGCAAAAATGCTACGAATAACATAATATGTCGCATGAAAAGTACAGACAGTTTTCTTTTGTGTGGCTTGAGTTATCATAACCTTCCATACAGGGTGCTCAAAAAAAAAATAATTAGGACAAAAGTGGCAGGGTTTTGAGTGAGTAATCCAACGGTGACCTTGACCATGACTTTCAAGGTCATTTAGAGGTCAAGTTGAAAATTTTAAATGGAACCGTATACTTTTGACCCCGGAAATGGTAAGAACGGAAAATTTTACGTTCGAATGTGACCTCGACCATGACCTTCAAGGTCATTTAGAGGTCAACCTGAAAATTTTAAATGGAACTGTATATTTTTGACCCCGGAACGGATCTAATATATTGGACTAAAAATTTGATTCAAAAAGTTTTCAAATTGACCTGTAAACGACCATCAAGTTACAGTCAAGGTCACCGTTCGACTGCTCACTTTTAACCTTAACATCTCGGTAATTTTTCCACTGATGAGAACCTTCGGAGACAGGCTGTTGGAAATACTGTGACCATTTCCGGGGTCAAAAATATACGGTTCCATTTAAAATTTTCAGGTTGACCTCTAAATGACCTTGAAGGTCATGGTCAAGGTCACATTCGAACGTAAAATTTTCCGCTCTTACCATTTCCGGGGTCAAAAGTATACGGTTCCATTTAAAATTTTCAACTTGACCTCTAAATGACCTTCAAGGTCATGGTCAAGGTCACCGTTGGATTGCTCACTCAAAACCCTGCAACTTTTGTCCTAGTCATTTTTTTGTTTGAGCAGTATTTTCTGATAGGGGGGGGTTCCAAACCTTTTGAACACCCTGTATAATTAACAACAGTAATTAATTTATTTACAATATGCAGGCCGGATTAACCTATGGTGAGGCCTGGGGCTACAAGCTCTACGCAAGTCGTCTTTCTATACAAAAAAAAAAGATATTAAAATTTCTTGTTTGATTCTAAAAAAGACACGCTCAAAAACTTGTCCTAAACTTGTCAAAACCTACACTTTTTGGTTTGAATCTTCCAAATTTTCAAATTTCCCTTTAATTTCAAAAATTTCCAAGAATAAATGAGAACTTTTTTATGCTCAATAAAAAATATTTTAACTAACGGAAATTAGAAACTGAGTTACCTACCTTGTCCCTATACCGAGCCTTCATTGCAATATGCAGATCCCTAAATCGACTGTATCTCCGAAGAATGCACCACCGATCGTCAACAGTGTATATCCTAACCTCATACTCGTAATGCGTACTGCTCCCGGCTCCTCTAAGGCAATAGCTCGTTATAGATACAACTGAATCCCAGTCTACATCTGAAAAGGGAAGCGCCTTTATTTATTTATTATTTTTAAATCCGTAAATACCCACCGGTTGTTATGGATGGCATTGATCTGTATAAACTCTGGTTGTAGGGAGACAATCGTTGATTCTATGGGAAAGAAATGCACTTAGACATAGAAACGGATACTAAGTGTGGAATATTTTGGAATTCCTCTGGAGTAAAAAGGACTTACATGAAGCGGCGGAGAATATAAGGCAGATGTGGATCCCGTATGTAAAGGCCTAATGGGACTGGGACTGTCGATATCTTGCAGAGGGTGCTCCGTTGTAGGAGACAAAGATGACACACAACCATATTTTAGGGACATGTACTGTCTTTGCAGTTCTTGCAATACCTTAATATAAAACAATACAATTTAGTTGTTAAAAAAAAAAATCTTTGAATTTTTTTCGACCTAGTTAGAAACTAGAAATTTAAATAAAAAATGTCTGAAACCTATTTCTGCGTACCCTTTTCAAGACTGATTGGATAAAGTATACTTACAGCTATCTGAGAATCTAAATGTGCTTTAGGGCACTGATTGTCCAAATTCCGTACAATAAGTTGTTTTTGTTGAGTGATCCTTTGCACCAGTCTTCTTAGCAGTAATTCCGTTTCCCTCTTCTTATTCTTCTTGATCACTGGGGAATGATTTTCTATGGAACTTGTAGATTGTGAGTCACTTACAACCAACTGTATGGAAAGAAGTAATTAATATTACTTTTTCATAACTTTTTTAAATAAGTAAATAATTGATACTCTTCAAATGTCACATTACGATACAAAAAAGTGAATCTGCGACTTTGTACGTAATATTAATTATGATAAATGGAAATGTGTCTTTAGCAACCAAAATTGGCAATTGGTGTATATGGTTGATATTGAAAAGGCAACTAATAATATCATTGAGATAAACCGCGATAAAAACATGAATTTATAGTACAAAAATGAAAAGAAATAAGTAGAAAATCAGAATAAACAGAAATAAAATAGATAAAAAAATATGAAACTAATTATAATAAAATTTGGATTAAAAATTGTAACGATGCATCAAGATCAAACCCAAAAGATTATAGATCACCCACAAAGTTCAACATATCTGAAATATCTACTAAAAACAGTATGGTTATCTTATCTACAGATGATTATGAGAACAATTAATTAAACGGATAAAAACAAGAAGGTATCTGGAATAGGTAATATAAAATATCAAGACAACATCAGATCACATTATGAAACCGTTAAGTTATTTTTAATAAATGCATTCTGCTTGTAAACAATCAGCAGTTATTCCTATTTATAAAGAGGGGATAAATGATATAACAACCANAATAAGTTGTTTTTGTTGAGTGATCCTTTGCACCAGTCTTCTTAGCAGTAATTCCGTTTCCCTCTTCTTATTCTTCTTGATCACTGGGGAATGATTTTCTATGGAACTTGTAGATTGTGAGTCACTTACAACCAACTGTATGGAAAGAAGTAATTAATATTATTTTCATAACTTTTTTAAATAAGTAAATAATTGATACTTTTCAAATAATGTCAGATTATGATGCAAAAAAGTGAATCTGCGAGTATTCACTTTGTATGTAATATTAATTATGATAAATTTTAAATGTCTTTAACAGCCAAAATTGGCAATTAGTGTATATGGCAGTTGATATCAAGAAGGCAGCAAATAATATAATAATTGAGATAATAATAACTGCTATAAAAACATGAATTTATAGTACGAAAATCAAAAGAAATAAGTAGAAATTGCAAACAGATTAATAAATTCCATAAAATAAAAAAATTATATTTGGACTTCTTCTAGAAAATCAGAATAAACAAAAATAAAATGGATAAAAAAAATATTAAACTAATTATAATAAAATTTCGATTAAATATTGTAACGATGCATCAAGATCAAACCCAAAACATTATAGGCTATATCAGCTCACTCACAAAGTTCAATATATCTGAAATATCAATTAAAAACAGTATGGTTATCTTATCTACAGATGATTATGAGAAATCAAACAATTAATTAATCGGATAAAAACAAGGAGGTACCTGGAATAGGTAATATAAAAGATGATATACTCAAGACAACATCAGATTATATTACGAAACCGTTAAGTTATTTTTAATAAATGCATTCTGCTTGTAAACAATCAGCAGTTATTCCTATTTATAAAGAGGGGATAAATGATATAACAACCAAATTAGCCTTTCTCCTCGAAAAAATGTCATAGGCAGGTTTTTGAAGTACAGAGAGATGTTTTATAGTCATGATTAAAGCAAAAATAAGTTCAGTATTTTCTATAAATTCAACTGGTTTTCAGAAATTCTCAACCATTCTTTTTCAGGTGTTAAAAACGTATCGATCTTCAAAATATTCCAGATTGCTATATATGTTTGAAATTGCCATTTTCCCTTGACAAAACAGAAATGTTCCGTATATATTATTTCTTAATTATAACTTGCCATAGACTTACAGTCAGTCTTTCGGCAAGTTAAATAGATTCCCTTGATATACATTTTCTTCATCTCGGGTTTCACTTCACTGACAAGAATATCGAATTGTTCACTAGACATTCTAAAGTCATTGAAAAACTTATCTCCGTCACTTAAGTCGTATTTCTTGTATTAGATTATGAAAATTTCCTTGTTTTTTTTTTTTTAAATATATTATGTTTCTTACCCAAAACTAGGATTGAATACTAATAAATTTATGTTTTAAATATAATAATGCTAATAAAATTTGTCTTCTACATATATATGCTGTTTTCTTTTACTCATGATTTCGGAATCATAACGCGTTACGATCCGAAATCTATACTCCGCGGTCGAAATTATAGAGAGTGACTCATCGCTAGCTTTTGGACTAGTAAGGGGGACGAAGCGTGCCGGGGACGAAAATCCATTGGCGTGTCTGCGTAACAGGCAACAAGATATAGAAAATATTGAAAAAAGATAATAAAGCATAACATCTAATATTTTATACGGTTTGCTATAATCGGCATTTTGATCCATTTTAATTATTACAGCATTTTAAAACGTCTCAGTTGTGTTTTTTTAATTTATAAATTTATTATAGCCATGGAATTAGACCCCTCGTCTACACTTATGCTATGACGTTTCTCAGGACTGGTAAATCAAGTCCGTTTACACCCACTAAAAAAGCATTTTCCTATTCCCTACCAAGTGCAAATGACAGAGATAGAATATAGATCGACGTTCAGTGTAACTCAGTCTATAGACGATTATCTATAATTTCGACGGCGGAGTATAGCAATCTGATTGGTTTCCATCGGATCGTAACACGTTATGATTCCGAAATCCTGAGTAAAAGAAAAGGGCTATAATAACTATATAACTACATAATTATTCATATTTATTATAATTATAACCTCTAACTCATATTTCTAATAATGTGTCACTTTCACTTCATATTTTCATTGGAAAGAGTGTAAATAATATTTTATTGACAAAGAGGGGAGAGGATTTTCGTCACAAAATCTTAAAACTTTTTTAACATTTCGCGCTAGAAAATGCTGCAAAAATAAAGTTAAACAATTCCTGCCTTCCAAAATTCAAAATAAAATTAATCCAATCAAATGATCGCCGCAAAAAAATAAAACGCAAAACGCGCTGTGAGTACTTAGCTTTATTCTGCAATCTAAAGGCTTCCATAGCCACTCCATCTTACCTTGATACTTGCCTAAGTCTCAAGGCAAGACGGACCGTGTTAAGACTTTTCTTGCGTGTACAGTATAAAAATCTGGCTTGAAGGCAAGTATCAAGGTAAGTGTCAAGGTAAGTGTCAAGGTAAGTACCAAGGTAAGATGGAGCGTCTATAAGAGTTTTAAAGAAATGTCAAATGTGGCGTTTTTAAAATGGAATTAACAGAAGATGATACACCTGGTGCTAAATTAAAATTTTCAAAAGTCCAAGACTATATTGTCCGCGATCTAAAATGATGGTTAACATGTCACAATTTGCCTGTTTCCGGTAATAAAAGCGTTTTAATCGAGAGGTTAATTGTTGATATATTTCTTTTATTGACAGGACGTTATACTCTCATGATTATTCCAATATTTTGCATGAATTTAATTACTTATATATTTTTTTCTTCTTAAGAGTTGAAAAATGTATTGTGAATAGTATGATACAAAAAAATTGTTGGAAATGACAATGGCAAGTGTTTAGAACCTTTGACACAGTTGCTGCTAATGGAATTGGGTTTTCAAATGTTGGTACATTACAATTAATAAAATGTTTTGTACATACGTATGCTTTTTTATTTTTTCAACTGTTAAAGCAGTTCTAAGAGACAGATGAATTCACTCCAAATACTTTTGTTAGTCCACATGTGATTTTATAAAAGGCACAAATTTAACACCCTTTTGCTTAAATCGACATTCAGAAGTACAATTCGCAAATGCACAAAGTTTAGTTGCATGTTGAATTAATTTTTTTATTTTATTATTTAGTTTATACAGGGTGCAAATGATAGGTTTAGCCAAACTTTAATGGCGTATTCTACCTATGAAAATAACCAAGATTTGCTCTATACAAATTTTTGACAGGACGCTTTCCTACAGAGATACAGGGTGTTAAAAGTTTCAAATATTTATATTATTTTTCCTGTAACTTCGCTAGCAAAAAAGTGATAAAATTTGGGAGATGTCAATTTCTCAGTAGGGACTATTTTTTCATGGATAACTTATTCCAAAATATACTCCAGGAGCGTAGTTATTGAGGGAGTAGGGGACCTTTTTTGAAAAAAATCGTATGCCACTGGTTTTTTAAATAATTTTAAATGTTTTTAAAATGTACAATCAATTTGTGGCTAAAGTATTCGTAATATTTACTGGTCTTTTGATAATTGGGAAATCAAATAAGAAAATACTTAAGTACGTTGCTATTTACCATTTTCTATTTTTTGATAAATGTGTAACAATATATTCAATACCTAATATTTTTGTGAGATTTCAAAACACTATACAAATGTCATCACTCAATATTTTTTGCCCAGTGAAGTTATAGGAAAAATAATATAAATATTTGAAACTTTTAACATCCTGTATCTCCGTAGGGAAGTGTCCTATAAAAAATTTTTATAGGGTAAAACTTGATTATTTTCATCGGTGGAATATGCCATTAAAGTTTGGCTAAATTTATCATTTACACCCTGTATATTAATTTCAATAATAATAAAAATGCACATTTGACATTACTTTTGACAGCAGAATAAAAATGTTTGTACCCCCTACCTGTGCTGCCTCTAACGTTATTTTTTCAAACCTTCTGAGGAAAAAGGATAATATAGACCTACATCTTTGATAACACATCTTTCTAAATTATTTGCAAACGTTTTAAAAACTAGACTGATGTCAAACATTAACAGAATTTAATGTCAAAAAATCAGTA